CTCTCTCTCTCTCTCTCTCAACCCAACTGTATTTTCACTCAATATTGTCGCCTCCTCCTCCTCCTCCTCCAAAGGATGCAACCCTTTCCTCTCCCACTCATACCCACCTCCCCATCCCCCAGCTCAACCACTCCAAACCCCCCTCACTTTTTCTCTGAATGGTCAATGGGAGTAAAGGAAAGCTCATATAGAACCCCAAAACATGATCAGAATGTTTTTCTCTCTGTCTCTTAGCCTATCAATGGCCAAGTCAAATGGGTATTTAAAATAACAAATGTGTATTGCTTCAATTGGTGAAAACAAAACAATCATGTTGAGTTTTTGAAATTAAAGGTGGGTGTTGATGGCTTCGTGAGTTGGAATTAGGGTAGTGGCTAGTGGAATCGGATGGAATTTGGGGGAGGAGGAAAGGAAGAGAGAGAGAGAGAGAGAAGGCTGTGGGATCTGATTGAAGACCAGGCTCATATGAAATCAGTTTCTGCTAAAAACAACATTAGTCATTGGTTTGGTATGACATCTGAAAAAAAAAAAAAAAAAGGTTTTTCCTCATACATTCATCTTAAATAGAAAATTTGAGGAAATTTCTCGAATAAAATGAACTTCCAATTAAAATATATCTTACACAACTAACAAAAAATCAGGGAATGGCACTGTTTCTCTTAAGTTCTTATTGCAAATAAAGCTGAATAACTCACTTATTCATGACCTCGAATCTTTACAAAACCCCTCAGCAATTCCCGTTTATAGTGGCAATCACCGCTTAGATGGCCAGCACGAATCTGTTCCAGAAAAACAAAGTGTGAATGTTTAAAAAGTAAAAGATTAAATTGAGGTATGAAGAATTACACTACAACTGATACAAGAAAAATATTCAGTTGCTATATATTGATGCACACCTCCATACAAGCATAATGTGCACAATTAGCCCAGTTCAAGTTTGCAGCACGACAATTGTCAAAAGCATGAATTAGCCCACGTATCACCATTTGGTCGACTTCATCTTGAATGTTCATGTGATTACCACATACCCGTATCTTGTACACATGAAGACATACAGAACAGAAAAATAAATTAGTTTCATAACAAGCTCTTCCTGCAAATATTTACTATGCGGAAAGAATAGACCATTAAAAGAGCTTCACAAATGACCAATCAATTGATAGAGATACTTGAATGACTACTCAATCTAGCAATTTTGATATTTTCCAAGATTTAAAATTTTAAAGTTCAACGTTCACTGCAACTAGTACTATACAGATTCTACTGTATTTGCTAAATTTTCAATTACGAAATGAAGTTTCTCACATCTGTAAAAATCAAAGCTTTCGCTTAAACAAATAGAAATGAAGAGAAAACGTAATTGTATTGTTGTACCCCTTTGCCGCGGGCATAATCGCCAGCAATCTGCTTGTCGCAATGAACGGCCTTGATGAACCTGTTCCCAATCCCACATCCAGCTTGCTCCAAATGCTTCAACAGAAATTTCACCATTGGAACTGTTGCAGAAAACAACGTTTTTGGTGTCAGAGAATTAGGAAGAAAACAAACGAAAACCAAAGAGAAACCCCGGATGCCGTGAACCTCTAAACCCTAAACCCTTAATCCCATTTTTATGAAATGAGTTGTTAAAAACAGAAAATAAAAAGGTGAAAAGGAAAGTAGAAGAGTACTCCGGAAGCTTCGTTGAATCATGTCTTGGCATTCCTCCAGGGTTTTGCCACCGTTGACGGCGGAGGAGAAGGTTGAGGATCTGGGTTCCGGGGCAGGTTTATCAGCCATGGCTTTTTGAGCTTAATAAATCTCTGTGACACTGGCAGAAGAGCACCAGCAGCTGATTCTCGGGTCAATAGCCGGTTCGGGTTTTTACAAACGTTCAGATCTCATTTTTGTTGAGATTTCTATAGCAGAGCTTAGTTGAGGGAAGGAGAGGAATACAAAAGATAGAATCGTTGAGGAGAGAGAGAGAGTTTGTTATTGAGCACAGATAATTGCAGTGCACTCACACGTCTTTCATTCCAACAAAACCATTCTCTTTCAAGGAGGAGAATGAAATCCAGCCTTATAACTGAGTCAGCAATGTGAGCTTGACACTTATCACAAATCTAAGACATATGAGTCCTATTTCAACATTCCCTTTAAAATTGTTTACTGGTTTAACTCCTAGCAATTCTCTCAAATAGTTTAATCGATCCTTTGGTAGTGCTTTTGTGCATATATCAGCTACTTGCTCCTCAGACTTTGCAATATCTCAAATCTATAACTCCTTTTTGCAAAGTTTCACGAATGAAATGATACCTACGATTGATGTGTTTTGTCTTTTGATGAAACACATGATTTTTGGTGATTGCAATGGCAGAAGTGTTGTCAATCATCAGTGGTGTTGCTTCTGTATGCAATTCTCCAAAATCCTCCAGCACAAATCTTAACCATATGGCTTGAGTAGTGACTTCACTTGCACTGACATACTCAGCTTCAGCTGTAGAGAGTGCAACACTATGTTATTTGACTGATGCCCAAGAAAATACACCACTGCCAAAAGAGAAAGCATAACCAGAAGTGCTTTTCATGTCATCTTGACTCCACTACAGTCACTATCACAATACCCTATTAACGCAGCTTCTTTTCCTTTCTGATACTCAATGCCATAGTTGATTGTTCCTTGTATGTGCATCAAGACCCTCTTAGCTATTCCATAATGTTTCTTGGCGGGACAATGCATAAATCTAGCTAGTAAGCTAGCTACAAACATGATATCTGGCCTTGCGGCTGTTAGGTACAACAAACTTCCCATAATCTGCCTATATTCATTCTCATATGCAGGATCACTATCACTATCTTTGCATAGTTTCTCACTTGACACCAAAGGAGTATTGACAAACATGCATTACTTTAAGCCAGACTTGCATTGCTTTAAGCCAAACTTGTTCAACAGTGTCTATGCATATTTCTTTTGACTTATGAAAATACTCTTTTCAGTTTGAATCACAACCATTTCAAGAAAATGATACAAAAGACCCAAGTCAGTCATTTCATACTTTCTCATCATCTCAGACTTAAAGTCTGCAATCAATTCTTCACTACTTCCTGTATACACTATATCATCAACATAAATTGATACAATCAATATTCCAGAGTTTTCCTTGGTCTTGCAATAGAGAGTTGATTCACTAGTGCTCCTGACATCTCCACAGCCAATGATATATGAATTTATTTCCTCATACCAGGCCCTTGGTGCCTGTTTTAGGCCATACAAAGTCTTCTTTAACGTGTACACCTTGTCTTCAAAATGTTTAATCACAAAACCATCAGGCTGGTCCACATACACTTCCTCCTTAAGCACACCATTCAGGAAGGCCGATTTGACAACCAATTGGTACAACTTCCTTCCCTTTTGAGTTGCCAATGCTATAAGAGTCCTAATGGTGTCTAATATGGCCACATGAGAATGTTTCATTAAAGTCAATCCCAGACTTTTGTATATAGCCCTTGACCACTAACCTAGCTTTGTGTTTCTGTATTGAGCCATCAAGGTTCAACTTGGTTTTATAAACCCATTTAACCCCAATTATTGGCTTTTCCATTGGTCTATTAACCAATTCCATGTCTCATTTTTGTCAAGCATCTCCAGTTCAACTTCCATTGCTTGCTGCCAAGCTTTATCTTTTAAAGCTTCTTCATAGCTCATTGATGCTTATATTGCATCTAGCATAAATCTCAGCTATATCTCTGAGCTTTACAAGAGTAGAACTTGGTGATACACTTTGTGAGCCAGCACTAGTTGAACCTGAAATCATCTCAGTTGAACCAAAGCCACTTTCAACTTGAGATTCTAGTGAAGGTGAAGCTGTGACTTCTTCCTCTTCTTCAGTGGTTCTAGGATTTTCCTCAAAACTCATAGGAACTGAGACATGCACCACATCCTGCTTTTCCCAATCCCATATTGCGTCTTCATTAACTATCACACTTCATTTTGGGGAAATTACTTGAGTCCTTAAGTAGCCATTTCTCTTTGCAGATAAATCATACTTCGCATATGTGCATAATTTTTTCTATTTGTAATATTTTTTGTCAGATTTCTATTTGTAATTTTAATGACTTACTTTTGCATATTTGTATTGGTATGTAAGAGGAATAACTCCAAATAACTCCTTACATGTAAAGAGACAAGCAGTGTTCTTATTTTGGAGCAAAGAGTGTTGTCCACGAGGTTTATATTAACTCACTAAAATATAGGCTATGGGCTAAATTTGGATTTTCATCGTTCTATTTCGTAATTATTTGGCCTATAATTCAAGAGACAAAGAACATCATAAAGAGGCTAACCCAAATGAATGGCAAGGGAAGGTCCTTGGTTTCTTTCTTTGTTTCTAATAATAGATGTTCTAACAAAAGCCATTGTAGTAAGTTAACGCAAGTGTGATGAAGAATGAAGATCCTTGTCCTTCCTGCACCAAGAAACCCGCACACCAAGTGATAATCGAACCATGACCCGCTAAGCCCGGCCAGCCAATAATCACAATTTTCTGGGCTCTCTCCCCTCTCAAAACCAACAGAAAAGACTAACACCGCTATGTTTCCCTCCACAGATTCCCTAGGCTATCTCCCTTCCACGCTAAGTCCTACAAATCTCATTCCCTTCACCATCTTAATTATGATCCACATCCATTAATTATAGTTGCGCATGCGTTTTTTCTCTATAAATATACATTTATATTTAGAGGGTAACTATTGCAATTAACCACACATTCATCATAAACTAAAAGTAGCCAAAACAAAACACAGAGCTAAGCTTATATAACCATAAAACAAAAGAATAAGAAGTGAGAAGTGAGGAGAATAAGAAAGAAGAAGGAAAATGGCACGTCGTGAATTGGTAGTCCTTGCTTTGGTATTATTTGCCATTGTGGGGGTTGCAGCCGCAGACTCAGGCAGCAGTCCTACACCTTCACCATCTAAGAAAGAAGACAAAGACTCAGGAAGCAAAGGCGGCGACAGCAGTTCATCATCGTCGTCGTCACCATCCTCCTCTCCATCATCCTCCTCCTCCTCCTCCTCCTCATCATCATCATCTGATGCCCCGACCTCATCCTCCTCATCATCAGATAACAAGGACAAGGACAAGAAGGACAAATCATCATCAGCCCCGACCCCATCAGCATCAGCCCCCAAGTCATCATCGTCAGATAGTAAGGACAAGGACAAGTCATCATCATCACCATCTCCCAGCAGCTCTTCGGGCGGTTCTTCTTCTTCATCACCATCACCCAAGTCTTCCTCTTCTGGCAGCTCATCATCATCTTCAGGTAACAAAGACAGCGGCAGCAGCTCATCTTCACCATCGCCTAAGTCCTCCCCATCAGGCTCTTCGGGCTCTTCTGGGTCTTCAGGCTCTCATGCCAGCTCACCCAAGTCATCGTCTTCAGGCGACAAAGATAGCGACAGCAGCAGCAGCAGCAGCACCCCGGCTTCATCTCCCAAGTCATCATCTTCAGGCAATAAAGACAAAGACAGCAGCTCATCTCCATCTTCTGACGACGACACCTCCACGGCACCAGCCCCCAGTGACTCGGCCTCAGCGTCTCCCCCTGCCCCGTCCACGGACAGTGCTGAGGCTCCCTCCGATGTTATCACTGCTGACACACCAGCTCCATCGGACTCTTCCTCTAAAAGCGCCGCCGCAGCCCCGGCCTTCTTCTCTACTGTCTCTGCTGGTGGTGTTGCCCTACTGGCAGCTGCCACCTTGCTTGCCTTCTAAGTTAGTTACCCCTCTCACTGCATGATGCACTTTCTATTTTTAAAACTTAATTCGATGTTATTCGGTCGAGACGCTACTTCTTCTGATCATTATCATCTTTCATGACTAGTGATTTATTCTCTGTAACATCGAATCAATCCATGTTTTGTCCGTTTCACTCATTCACCCTCCTCACTCTTGTAACTTGTATTCATTCATTTGTTCAACTCAATAATTAAAGGGCATTCAACTTAATTATCGTTAGCTAGTTAAATACATTACGTAACGTACCCCCGTGTTTGGCATTTCATGGGTAATTGATTACTCTAATATTTTCAGAAAGAGTAATGCTACTCTTATTATATTTGTATATCATATTCTCATACCACCTTACGTGACAGATGAATTAGACAGTCGTATTAATTAAAAAGTGTCAATAAATTATAGAGAAAACAAAATATTAAATTAATTTTAATTGATATGATTGTCAACCTCATCTACCACAAAAGGTGGTATGTGAATGTGGTATACAAATGTGATATGAGTAGCATTATTCTTTCAGAAAACCGAAAAGAATTAGAATCCTAATTTAGATTTTCTGTTAGGTTTTATTAGTTTGTCTTTGAGAATGCATGCATGCATATATAAATATTTTGTCTACGTACGAATTGAATTACGTGCTGCATGCATCACAAACAAACGAAGGGTTTATGGAAGAATATTTGACCAATCAATAGTAAAGTAAGTCAACCAACTATGATCAGCTATGATATAAACAAATAAATAAATAATTGTTTCTGGAAGGTACGCAGAGAGTGTGTGTGTGAATCCACTCCGCGCTTGTAGACCAGAACATTATTTATGGTTATGGACCGACCGACCCCAACAGGCCCCAGCACGTACAAGATCACTCTTTTCTTTGCTTAATTGACGGGGAAAAGGTTGCTACAATTTAATTAATAATGTATTTCTGCATGCAAATTGTTTTTTTATTTCTTTTCTTGGGGTAATTCTTTTGCTTTTGTACATGCAAATTGCAAAGCATGGTAATTAAGGTATTTGGTAGGTAGGAGACAGCGCATGCGCAAAACTAACCCAAGCAGAGTGAAACAGTTATAGTTTAAAAGTAGTCAACACTTCTGGTTGCTGAATTTTGATTAATTAAGCTCAAAGCAGAGGTTGCAAACTCCTTGTTTTTCATTAATTACTACATAATTTCTTAATTAATTGATAATTAGCAGCGGGATCCCTTCCTGCAAATAAGGGCACCGGCAGTAGTTGTGATGGAGCCCACCAGAGAAGAAGGCCTTGCACTGAGGCTTGAAGCCCTGGCGTAGCTTGAAGATGCTCCTGCTCCTGACTGCCTGAAATATGCCCCGTTCAACATCATATCCCCCTCTGACCTCCAGTTCCAACCCCTCCACTCACTCTCCGGTGCATTCTCATGTTTAGTCACCTACGTACATCAATTAATTATTGATTAATTTGGGACAAAATAATATTGTAAACTATTCTAATGTATGGAAAGAGGGATCAAATTTAAGTGCAAGAGAGTTGGCACATTGCATGACCGACTGACATAAGACATAACGCACTTATGCTAAATTCTAACTAAGTAATTACCTCTTTATTGAAACGTGTATTAGGCGCCAGAAATCTATTGCCTTGGCTGTTGATAGTTGGAGCTGCACTCCCTCCAATTGCATACATTTCCCAGTGTGTGTAGTCATTGTTCACCACATGAAAATATCCATGTCTACACCTGCACATGCAATATATTATTAGGCTCTATTAAGTAATTTACTTTCATATATAAAAAAAACCTAAGAGTTCATTAATTTTGGAAAATTAATATATCTGTATGTATCTTTATGAATTATTACCTTGGCATTCTTTGGACAAGGCCTTCTCCAAAATGATTAAAGGCAACTGTGACCTGCATGCCCTTGTCTTGCGTATAGGAATCGCTGTGCCCCAAAAGCATGACCTTATCATGATGGGTCATGTAGTTATTGGATATGGTGATGGCTGTGGATCCATGGATGGCATCAATGAGGCCATCATGGCAATTAGAGAGAGAGCAATGGTCCACCCATATATGTTTCCCACCAAATATGGACACCCCATCGCCATCCGATATCGTCCACCACCCTGAATGCTCCGGCGAGTTTCGTATGTTCCCGTTCCCTGCCTGCTTACAGTCATGGATGTTGATGCCATGGATGATGATGTTGGTGGCATAATGGATGGTGATGCATGGCCCTCCAGCTATGTGGACGCTCGCTCCTCTACCGTCTATGGTCTTGAACGAGTTCATCACGAGCTCTTGCTTCAGTTGAACCACCATGTCCCTTTTGAATATAATCCACAATGGCTCGTCTTGGATCACTGCGTGTCTTAGGGTTCCGGGTCTAGGGTTCACTGGGTCGTCGTCTCCAGAGTCGGTGACTACGTAGATTCGACCGTTTCTTCCTCCGATGGCGTCCTTGCCGAACCCAATGGCGCAGTCGGCTAAGCGCTGGCGGTTTTGTTCCCAGTTGGGATCACACCTCCAGCAATCGTCTATGGGGTTGCCAGTTCCACATGACAAGTAGCCCAAGTTCCTCCTAGAAGCATTGATGCTCCTATACGTACGTATATACATACACAAAAATATTAAACATTAAAGTAAATAACAAAATAAGCAGCAAAAGAAAAATAACAAAACATATGTGTTACCTATGGACTTCCTGTGCTACCAGTTCAGGGTCATGAAGTTGTGAGGAGGAAGCCAAAGTTGCAGTTAGGAAACAAGTGATGATGAGGAAAAGAAGCAAAAGTGAGAGCCCAGCCATTTGGTTTCTTGCAGGGAGAGCGAGATGGGCTTGGTTGAGTTGAGATACGTTGTTGATTGAGCGGGGTTTATAAGGACGTGTAAAGCCGAGAGTGATGGCGTGATTTAATTAACATAAAAAAGTGGGCCCTGCCATATCGTAATTTCAGGTTAATCTTCATCCATGGATTAGGCTCTTTCTTTCTTCCTATCCTCCAATCTGTTCGTTTAAAACAGTTAAACAATAAATCTTAGACTTTCAAACCTTCCAATTGTCAAATGGTTGACTTTAATGTTTCAACATTTCCACCCCCACCGTACCCCATAAACATAAAGTCTGTCGGGCCCCCCCTTCACTTTTAATTACCTCTCTCTCTCATTCTCTTCATCATTGAAAGATTAATAAAGTGATTATTGATTTGTTTTGATGATGTTATTGTTAATGATGCATGGATAAATTGACTACAAATGAATATTATTTGTGGTGGTACTTCAAGTACAAGGAGTATCTTATTTGTCTAAAATAAATCTCAGTTTTTTTCCTTTACCGCCGGGTTTGCCATCACATTTTAACATTAACAGGATTCCAGGGATTAATGGAAACATATTTTCTCCCTTCTCACTTACCACATGAATCATGATGGCTACTTTTGACTCCTTGCGCTAAAAAGGAAGAAATTCGTACGTATTTTCTAACTTCGTTTTGAGAAACGGAATGCATGTCTGGTGGACAAAATTATACCAATCGCCACCTTCAACTGGTTTATTTTATTTGCTTTGCTTCCCCTGACTGCGGAACAATATTTTCATGACCAAAATTAAAATTATAAATGAAAAGGCAAAGAGCCGAGACGTTTTTACTCTGACAAAGCGAAGCATAAGTATCAAAGCGTTAAGGAGTATGCTTTTTGAGACATAAATTATTTTGACAAGGAAAATTTATAAATCTACTAATTATTATTGAAGCATAATAATCAGTAGAAGATCTAAATAGAGGAGGAGGAAAATTAAAGTGAGAGAAATAAACTGTAAAAGCCACATGAAATATTACCTAATAATTATCTTCATGACGTTGTCAATACTTAAATTTGCATTGGAGAAAGCTTTGAGAGAGTTGGGAAGTGATTTTGGGATTGTGGGTTCTCTATCATGTGCGCACATGTTTAATTGATCATGGGAAAATAATAAAAAGGTTTTTTTAAAAAAACAAAAACAAAAACAAATTAGATGGAGGATAATGTAAAAAGGTTAAAGTAGTAATTTGCCAAAGTCAGGATTTTATCAATACTTCACGTTTCATTAATGGTGTGTTTACTAATCAAGAATTGGAATTCTCATAAGAAATTGAATTCCACCTATGAAGGATTCCTGCGTTTACTTCACATCAAGGAATTGAAAAGTAGGTGGGGCCCACACAAAATTAGGAATTGAATTCCTGATTTTGGAGGAATTCGATTCTTGGGTGGGAGGTGGTATTCTAATTCTTGAAGCACTAATCCATTAAGAATTCATCATTTTTACCTATTATATCCTCACATAATTTTCAAAATTCCAAATTTACCATCTACTTTAACCTAACAACGATGACATTTTAGTAATTAGCACCACTCCTACCTTAATTTCATATGATTTAGTAAACAACTTCAATAGGAATCCGGAATCTAATTCTCCTCAATCCAACTCATCCTCAATTCAATTTCTCCTAATCCAATTACGGATTAGTAAACATGCCATAAAAGTAAACAAAAGCATTACGAAGACGACGTCGTTTGCACTATAGAAAAATTAAAACAAAAAAACCCAAGTCATCTTCCTCATTTGAAAGCATTTGCAACATGCCTCACATGCAGAACCTAAGCACCAACAGAGGGGCATACAACGGCCTCTCCACAGGATTTTTCAGTAGCTGCACCTCCTTACGACTCTGTGGGTCCGCCACTAATTGTCTACAAAGATAAGAACAAAATATAAATTAACCAAATTGATTGAGTGACATTTAAAAAAAAAAATACAAGTGATAATCTAAACTAGAAGGTGGAGCATGATTTCTCACAAATATTATCAAAGCGTCATGGGGTTCGAATATGAGACCATTAGTATGTGCAAATCAAGACCTTTTTTCATTGGACTAGACTCCGTTAGATGTCCACTAGGCTCTTATTATGCCAACCACCTTAATTAATTGCGGACTTTTCATGGATGATTACAGTTTCAGTGTGAACTACTTATAGTGTTCGTGATCCCCTGCCGTGAGAGAGAAAATATAGGAATAATATATGGCGCACGTTTTGCATAGTTTACATTTTAGGAAATCTACATCAAATACTGCGTTGGGGTTTTTTCGTTTTTCTTTTCTAGACTAGATGTCTACCTTTCTTCCCATGTCTCTCTATTTGTCAACAACAATTCCTTTGACTCGGCCCAAATTATTACTCCTAGCTATTATCTTTTTTCAAAGACACAGAAAAGCCCAAAACAAAAAAAGCCGCTGAGAAGCTTTTGTTCAGCCCAATATATTTAGCGCAAAATTCTCTCAGAACTCGAGATCCCCGTTCCACCGACAGTTCCAGGCTCCAATTGGTTGGGCTAATAGCGGACCCAATATAGTAATTTTATGAAAACAAAAAGGAATCATTTAAGCGGTTGCTTGTTGGGTTTTTGATTTCGTGATGGGATATTTATTGGGAGCTTTCTACACGTGTGCTTCGTGCACGTCCACGTAAACACCTAAAAACATGAAGGGAAATACAAAAAGCTTTTTTACAGAGGCCCCCTACAGAAAAAAAGCTTTTCAGAGAGGGGTCCTCCAACCTCATATAGTGCACTTTCTCGTGTGCTTTTTTTTCAACTGAAATGAAATGGCTGAATCTATGCCCCCTCTTTTAATCCTTCCATTCTGCCACAGCAAATATGCAAATAAATGCAAATTTAATATTATATGCATATATTGCTCATAAAAAATAAGGACTGGGCTTGTCTATGTCACCAAATAATTATAGGTTTCACTGCATTCCGTTGATTAGATCATTGAAGTTTTTTTTACAATCGATAGTCTAAATTACTCTAAATTACTCGAAGAAGGGACTTAAATTTGGATTCGAGAGAACAAACTTACTGCTGTAGTCAACTGACCTATATCTTATTTAAGGTTTGTTGTATTACCTAGAAGAAACCTTGGAAAGGGCACAAGAGAGAAGGAGAACACAAAAACCCGATGACCATGAGAGTAGTGAATGGCATTAATCAGAGGCACATGAAATGAGATGAAAACGAAAGCGGCCACCTCACTCACTCTCACTGTCATTCACTGATTGGGTCAAAATTGTACACAACCCGACCCATCTTCATCCTATCATCCTAATATCCTATCATCCCATGATCATGATCGTCTATCTACTACAGCAAAATGAAATCTGGATAACACAGCACAATCCAACCCTCCACCCAATCCTCACATCCCACGTGGCATAAAAGCGCACTCTGTCACTATCAATCCTCTGGATACCGATCAAGAAGTGAAGAGTACCCTTTTCCCAATGCTTTGCTTAGCTCAACTTAATTTAATAATTCCCCAGCGGGTTCAAGCTGCTGCTGCCTCCTCTTTCTGTCTGTCTGTCTTTGCTGCCTCCTCGCCAAAAACACTTTCCCATGCCGTGCCCTTTCTTTTTATCTCCTTTTCGCCCCTTTAATTCATTTTCTTCCCTTCCCCCGCAACCTAACTAGGTCTAGCAGTCAAGTCACAGAAAGCAACAGCGTTTTTAGGAGAAAGAGAGAGAGATGTGCAACAAGAAGAGTCCACCTCTTCCTCCTTCTGCTACTCCTACTGGTCATGATGATGATCCTGTGCAAACCAGCTCTATGATTCATAATATCATCAAGGAAGAACAACAAGAAACCTCCACAGACCCGGCAGCAGCTCACCGCAAATCCAGAACCAAGACCAGGAAGCCCAAGTTCTTAAGCCTCCGATCCCAACTCTCGCTCCCCAAGCATGATCACGACCAAGATTATTACACAGTACCAGATTCGACCACTACAAATACAATGACCGCCGGTCAACGCCACCAGCTCAACCTCTTCCCACTCCACCCGGAAAACCTTGTCGACCACCAAGACAAAGCCGACATGCAGGACGACAACGTGGCCTTGCTCTTCCACTCGGACGGCGGAGCCACCCTCAACGGCCTCCTCACATCCACCTCCACCGCCACGACCTCCACCTCGACAACCACTACAATGTCATCTGACCGAGAGGACCAAGAGTCGTTTTCCACCTACGCCTACTATAACATTGTACGGACGGCGATGAGGAACAGAGAGAGGGAGACGAGCGTGGAGAAGTGGGTGTGCTACTCGGAGCTGGTGGACAAGAAGGAGGAGGAACCTCGTCGTGACGTGGAGGATCGGTGGAGGATCGGGACCTTGGCTTTGAAGCTTGATTATGAGGAGATCTTGAATGCTTGGTCTGATAAGGGCCCACTTTGCATTGATGGGGACCCACCACAGACTGTTCCTGACCAGCTTTTTCAGCTCCATGATAACACTCCCAATGTAAGAAACTTTTTCTCCTTCGTCTTTGTTTTTGCTATTCATTTGGGTAATGATGTCCTGTTTCTGATATCACCTTAAACTTGATTATTTTTTATGTTTAAGATTAATGTGATGCATTATTTCATATCTTTTGCGTTTTGATTGAATCTAAGTATTATTCATTTCTATGACCAAAAAAAAGTATTATTCATTTCATTTCCAATTTGGTTGGTTTACTTGCTTGGTGGATGGAATGGAAGTGGAACCCACCACTTGTTGCATTTTAATTTGGACCCCAGTGCAGTGCAGCACATTGCCCAGCTGGGGCTAGCTATGGGCAATATGGGCCAATGCCCCAACTTGCCAAACATTATTTTCAGTTTGTAAGTTGTTGTTGTAACGTGTAAATTTGTCATGGATGGAGATTAGGGTGAGGGATGTGATGGGAATTTATGGAGGGTCCCAGGAGGAGAGGATGAGAGCCTGAAAACGAAGATGGGGAAAACTCAAAGAGAGGCGAGTGTATTGAGGTACAAGGAAAAAAGGCAAAACAGGCTCTTCTCTAAGCGGATCCGATACCAAGTTCGAAAGCTCAATGCCGAAAAACGCCCCCGTATGAAGGTATACTCTACTCCCTCCTCCTCTGCTTATAAATTAATTAGGAATTAGGATGGCTAATTTTAGTATTTGTTGCATAATGTATCGTAACTGCAGGGTCGATTCGTGAAGAAGAGAAGTTGAAGTTCTAATCAAAGTGTAAAGAATACGAGCGAGCGACATGCAGAATATTAGCTAGCTAGATTCCAAGAGGATAGATAGGTTTTTGGTGCTTCAACTATCTATTACCACTGTATGTTTTATCTGTTTTGCTACCTAATTGTTAATTACGTTGCTCTTGCTGGAGAGAGAGAGAGAGAGAGGGACGAATATGTGTCTTGCATATACATACGTATGCACAAAGATATATATATATATATATATATGATCATCACAATCCCAATGCGACATTAACCTGTAAATTAAATGTTGTTTATATATGTAGCTGTCTAAGCATGCAATTGCCAAATTCAGATGTAAAAGAAAGAAAAAAAAACAAAAACAAAAATGTGATTTGATTAATTGGTTTTTTATTTTATTTTTAAAATCAAACAAATTTATAACATGGATTCTTCTGGTTGGTTGTAATTTATAAGGTTCTGTCTATGTTAATGTACGATGCAAGTGCAGTCCTCCTATAGATAGATATAGATATAATGTAGCTAGCATGCATGCACACTCCCCAATGAATCAGTCCACACCAGAGAAGAGAGTTAAGAGCAAGAAACAAGAAGAAGAGATTCTGTAAAACCAATTAAGATAATATAGATGAACAGTGAACCGATCAGCCTTGATTGATTGATCGATAGAAGAAGAGAAGAAGCCTCTCTCTCCATTAGTTTATAGCTATAGAATCCAAAAACAACATTTCCCCAAGTACGAAAACCAACAAACTAGAGAGATCTGGCAACCCCTTGCAGCAGCATTCATTGTCTGAAGCAAAGTTCAAACAACGTTGCTGCTCCTCAAGAACAAGAACGTATGTGTTCTGTTTTGACCAAGCTGAGCTCCAACCCCATCATCCATTGCATTGCACTGACAGAAATTTATTAGTTTATTATTTGTTCAAGCTAGCTAGCCGCATGCTTCACCTTAAAATTAATTTCTCTAGCTTTTTGGGAAAGCATACTGTCATTACATGTACATGTTCCATATTTATGGTGACCACCAAGCACAAGCAGCTAGACAAATAAAATTCAAATATCTGATTGCGCACCTTGAGCTTGAGCCAAGAAAGAATTGCTGCTCCATGCAATTAATCTGCGCTTATATACATGTAATCACTAAGATCATGAGACATTTTATATATATATATATATACACATGTAATCACAGTTATAGAATCCAAAGACAACATTTCCCCAAGTATGAAAACCAACAAACTAGAGAGATTTGGCAACCCCTTGCAGCAGCATTCATTATCTGTAGCAAAGTTCAAATCAAACAACGTTGCTGCTCCTCAAGAACAAGAACGTACGAGTTGTGTTTTGACCCAGCTGAGCTCCAACCCCATCATCCATTGCATTGTACTGACAGATGAATTTATTTATTTATTTGTTCAACTGTCATGTTAAGCTAGCTAGTCCCATGCTTCACCCTAAAATTAATTTCTCTAGCTTTTTGGGTAAGCATACTATCATTACATGTACATGTTAATGGTAAAGAGACCTCTCTACAAGGAGTCAAACAAGTCAAAGTTAGTTAGAATATTAATGGTAAAGAGACCACCAAGCACAAGCAGCTAGACAAATAAAATTCAAATATCTGATTGCGTACCTTGAGCTTGAGCCAAGAAAGAATTGCTGCTCCATGCAATTAATCTGAGCTTATATATACATGTAATCACTTAGATCATGAGACTTTATATATATTCATGTAATCACTAACTCTTACCTTCATTGGAAGATCATAATATATAAGAAGCATCGGTAACGAAGGGCATATCTGCATATATCTGGAACTGGAACTGGGACTGCATGAAGATCATAATATATAATATGTTGACAGAAGAAAAGAGAGCACAAAACTGATCATACACAATCATTTTCCTGGGTCTGGGTGACTGGGTGTATATGTTCATTTGTGCTCTCTATCTTCTGTCAACCACAACATCGTGCTCGTTTTGCCAATTAAGCCTCTGAAGCTTTTCCATGGAAGCTAAGGTTGCTGGCGGCTGCCATTGCCTTGTCTTTTTGTTGGGAATTTGATTCTGGGATAAACAAAGACTTAGTCTTCCTCCAGGAACACCGGTGGATGATTAGATGATTTGATTGGAACACAAAAATATCTGTTTTCTACTTTATGATAACAACCACATCACATTACTCAAGCAATGACGGGTCTTCTAGGTTGCGTCTTGTCCATTCATCTTGACTTACTCTATAATATATTAATATAGAGGACCCAGTTACTATATATTATTATAGTCTCTGATATATATATATATATATATATATATATATATATATATATATATATATATATATATATATATATATATATATATATATATATATATATATATATATATATATATATATATATATATATATATATATATATATATATATATATATATATATATATATATATATATATATATATATATATATATATATATATATATATATATATATATATATATATATATATATATATATATATATATATATATATATATATATATATATATATATATATATATATATATATATATATATATATATATATATATATATATATATATATATATATATATATATATATATATATATATATATATATAGTTGGATTGCCTTGATCACGAAAAGGCTGAAAACGCAAAAGATATTATTCTAATAGACTCGAAGATTGAGGTCAATGTAGCACTTAACTCATAATATTTAAAGTTGCTAATTAAGGCAAACTAGCTATCGTCCACATACCTTGTTGCAAAATCCCCAAATCCATATTGACGTGGGCCTTATCTCGTGTTTTCGTCCATCTATTTTTGGGCCAGGGATGCATGATTCTAACTTACTGAGATTAGATGATTCCTTCTATTCTAGGCTTCCATTCTAGCCCAACATTTAGAACTACTTGTGTTGTAATTCCAAAGCATGAGGTTCAGAAACCTCTAAGAAGGGTCATTCAGATTGAAGCTAATTAATCAGGAGTTGCACAAATAATTAAGTATGTGACAATATATAAATGTTTGATGTGTGTCATGTCTGGTTTGTATAATATAAATCAAAGTGAGTGCGTAGGCTCTTTGCTTTTAACTGAATAATGGTTGGTTTGTGTTTCTGGTTGAATGAATCAGAATGAATGCATTGGGACCAAACCAAATGGCATTGTCTAATCAGTAACAATCCCATCTAAAACAAAGTAAACAATGTTTAGTTAGAAATCATTCTGCTGGTGGCTGCCGGCCACTTGCCTGCCAAAAGCCAAAAACTTATGAAGTTGCTTCCCTGCACTGCAATACATAGTTCGCACAAAAAGAATGTTTTTTTTATTTCTTCTCGACAAAGATTAAAGCCATAGAATGGGCCTTACCCAGCACTCTCTTCTTTAATCTAATCATAATTACTTTATGCTTTAAGCATTTATAATTTGGTCTGAGCATTAAACGGAAGGGTATAAAAATGCTCATTTCTATTAGAGAGGTGGTACACAATACGGTATATAAATATGGTATACCTAGCATTTTTCTAAACGGAAATCACTTTGAGCTCAACCAATCCAAACTGATCAGGAACTTAGATACATGGATAGCTTTTACTTTCAACTTTCAAGTGGTTGCAACAAATAAAAATGTCCAAACTCTTGCTACCAAAAAAAATGTCCAAACTTTACAAGTACTTTTTTTAAGCTATAGCTTTGGTGCTTTACTTTGCATAATTTTTTGTGCCGGCGTGCACGCGTGGGAAATTTATATTACAATTGAATTTGAAACTTAAAAAGGAAAAAAAAAGCATCATAATTTTGAGTTTGATTGCCCTTTGGACAAAACCAAATGGAAATATGAAATCAACCCTAATTTTTATAAACACAGTTGATGTAGGGCAAACTAAACTACATTCCATCAGCCATTACAACGCTTAAAAGGACACACCAAGAAGTCCCCTAGCTATTATCTAACATTTTTAATATAATATATGTCTAGCTAGCCAAGGTCATGAGAGGAAGGCATATTAATTTGAGCCAAACTTACAAACTTTTTGAATTTTTACTGGTTAGTAATTAATGAACATAGATTAATTAAAGATCAGCAAGTGTGATGATTAAGATTCTTAATCATTCATACACTAATCGTACGACACGTCGTAGAAGTTCCGATTCCATGAAGCTTCATTGCCTTGATTGCTGGATCTTGGAGCAAAAGCACTTTGTCCTTGTCTCTAACACCCACCATGTGTAGATATTCACCATCCTCTCTCTGTTTCCCTTTGTAAAGCAGCCTCTGCTCTCTTGCCTCCATGCCAGTCACCAATGACAATATCATCTTTAATTCGCCTGCACATATTAAGAAATTAATTCATCAAAACCCAATTCTAATCACCACTTGTTTACTTGATTTCCTCATAATTTTGTGCATATACACATAGGAGAGAGAGAGAGAGAGAGAGAGAGCTTAATTACCAAATGTTGAAGTGGCTTCAATGGAGATGTCATGGCAATGAGACACAGCTGAGACTCTAACTGTGATCAAGCCCTCTCCAGCACTCCTTTCAGCCGCAGTCTCTCTCCTTTGAACAAGCATGCCTCCTGGTCGAAGCTCCCATTTGATTTGACCATTGTTATTAATGGCTCCTCCAAACTCCTTACTTTGATCAGCAGAAGCAGCAGCTTTAATCTTGTTATTATTACTGCTAATGAGCTTACAACTGCAAAAGCTTCTGCAAAACCTCTTTGACCTCAACTTAATCATGTTGATTAATTCCTCTCTGCTTTTTCTTGTTGCCTCTGCTAAGTAACCTCTTTAGCTTTTGCTTTCTCTCAACTCAACTCAGCTGAAATGCATCGCTATTTATATAATATAACAAAGCATTAGACAAGGAGAAATTAAATAAGCGCATCGCTAAAGTACAAGCCGCCCGAAGGTGTGTTGCAAAAAGTAAAGACTCATAAGAGTGGGTGGCCAATGAGAGGATGCCACAGAGGGGACAATATGGGCATAGTTTTTCCTTGCTTATTTTTATGGAAGGAAAGCCAAGGGCACATGGGGGTGGGTGCTTAGGAACACGCTTGCTTGATTGGCGGACCAAACACAAAATAAATGGCTCAATTTATTTGTCTTTCACAAATTATATATACGATGACATAGCCTACAACCAGAGAAACCAGAGAAATTTTTGTATGTTTTGGATACATTATAACTAAATTTTGAATAAGCATCTTAGATTGATGCGATTTAGCATGTTAATAGATCTGAAATTAATGTGGCATGGAATGGAATATATGTTACATTAAATTAAGAAATGAGTGAAGCTAGCTTTTCTTTTATTTCGTCTTCATCTGTAATTTGTGATTTTGGTTGGGTTTTTATGTTTAGTTAGGTGGGTGGGTGTTTAAGATTTCTTTTGGGTTTACTTTTCCTAATGGTGGTTGGCTAATCTCTCTAGGGTATCAACCCACATGGGAGAGGACCTTAAAAAATTACGCATATTCTCTCTCTCTCTCTCTCTCTCTCTCTCTCTCTCTTGTGTATATGCACAAAATTATGAGGAAATCAAGTAAACAAGTGGTGATTAGAATTGGGTTTTGATGAATTAATTTCTTAATATGTGCAGGCGAATTAAAGATGATATTGTCATTGGTGACTGGCATGGAGGCAAGAGAGCAGAGGCTGCTTTACAAAGGGAAACAGAGAGAGGATGGGGAATATCTACACATGGTGGGGGTTAGAGACAAGGACAAAGGGCTTTTCCAATTCACAAAATATATGGCTAGCTAGCCAAATTCTTTTAAAATGATCCTCCGAAATTAAAGGATTAGTAGCTCAAATTGGAACAAAGAAGATTCACTACTTGGATAACTTAATCCTTAATAATTAATCAACTTCGAGATATATATATATATCCCCTCTTTGTTTTCTGCATAATAAGTAAGTTTTAATTTGCATATTGGTTCTTCACTTATGTGGTTTGAATAACCTCCTGATTTTATTATTGATCTTCTATTTGAGAAATGTAACTCAGAGTTTTACGGGAAGCGCTCTATCAGAGGCCAGGTTCCTTCTCCCGCTTGCGGTTGAGAGGGTAGTCTACTTAGCTAGTCGACGACCAATAATGTCCATTGGTGTAGAGGTACTCACCTAATCCTCTAGGACAAAGCCAATTTTGTACTTGTTGCATCCCTCTTATTCAATAAAATAATCACTTCTGTGTCAAAATAAAAAATAAAAAAAATTGCGAGCATTCACGAGAGTGACAAATTGATCTCCATATCACCAGCACATGGTAGTAAGGAGGATAAAGAGAATAAATTTGTGCAAGGTTTGGCGACAAACGACACTCCACATGTAACATTATCGTAGAAGAAGAAATATTAGGTTTGGACTTTGGAGAACCAATATATATACAATGTATCATGCATAGTTTTGCATTATATATATTGGCATTTAAATTACTCTAAAATAGTGTAAGATTGAAAAACATGTGAAATGGGCCCTCTCCTCTCCTATGTGCATGGAGCATCCCATTAGGCTATAGTATGGGCTAAAAGGCACCGTTACAGTTGATCATTTAGTCACTTGTATTTTTGTCTTTTTAAATGCCTATAGCTATATAGCTGATGCAGCCTACACTCTGATTCTTCTTTCAAATTCTCATATATAAATATGAATTTATGTAAAACACTCTCTCGCTCAATCGCTTGTACTTGAAATGATACAGATTTGGTGAGAGATTACCCTTAATTAATAGGGAGCTGTGATGATTTGATACCCGATCGAGCAAGCTAGGCTTGCTCATGCAAAATACCAAAAAACAAAAACAAAAAGAATGGAAAGAAAAAATTGCATGCAGCACAAGATTGATTCTTTGACGCACCCCATAAGATATGCTTCTTGTTGGCAGGCCCGTGGGAAAGATATAGCTGAGAGATTTTATGCGCATCAAAGGTCGTTTTAAGTCTCACAACACAATTATAGAGTTCCTAGCTAGCTAGCTTCCATGCATGACATGGGCTGCTCCGCTTGCTATTCAATATTTATTTATTTATTTTCCAAACATTATCACTGACACACCCTTCTTGTTCTTCGTATTATTATTACTGTAATAATAAAAAAGATGTCATTGTTTTATTAGGACCTTGTGCACATTATTAATTCTCATCGAACGGGCCGAAAAGCCGGCCCTTCTTGGACTCTTCATCCCCAACTTCACCCACCTGATCCCATCTCTGGATCTCGCAACCCCAACAGCAAAGCATTTGATTTTCGCATCAAATGAATAGTAATACATTCTCAGATCGTCACTAGTATAGTATGCACCACAACTCGAGGTGAAGAAATAAATAGAGAATCCCAATCAGTGGCTGAACTGAAACTACGATATCGAGCATTAGCAAAGCTCCGCTGTGAAGATCCCTTCAATTCTAGCCCAGTTCCTACCGTCTTGGCTGCAAGCCAACCCCGGTAGTGACTTACTTAGGCATTTCACCCACTTGTTCATATTGTAAAGCCAGTTGACTGAGCTGTGCATTGGATTGGACATGATGACCATATGCGAAGGCCTAATGCTGTGAGTAACAGTTTTCACTGCAATTCATTACCAACCCATCGGCTTCTCCATTTGACATGACATGTGCAGCTCCTCTTGCCCATTGAATCCCATTGCTTGAAACTGCAAGTCCAATGGAATCAGAAGTATCGGTATTAATTAGACGACCTTCCATGGTACGTACCACATGTACTACCACCTCTCTTCATTGTTCCCAATGAACCTTTTCACTACTGGTGACCCAACTTCTGCACTGTCCCAAGAGACTTTGTGACCCAACTCAAGCACCAGATCCTTTGACCATGTTGATGTGAGTGTTTGATCAGGTGAAGCAGTTGTTAGATGTTGGCTTTAATGAAACTTTATTGTGTGTTCCTTTTTTAATCTATGTTCTGTCTTGATAAAAGAGGAAGGATCTCAGAAAATTGAGAGAGAAGTTCTATTGACAGAGTACGTATGAGAGGTAGATTAATTTACATGCATGCTTCCTCATTTTAACTACATTAATCTGAAGACACAGCCATGTCTTGTTCAATCCTTCAAGCCCATCTTGAGACACAGCCAAGCCATTACTCCTCCCTCCATCAGCACCAACACCTTCATATGCCATCAAATACTTGACATCCTTCTTATTCCTCACTACAAATGGATTCATTGCTCCCAACTCATCAAACCCCCCACCTCTCCCTCCCTCTATTAATCCCATCCTTCATCTTGTCATCCCAAACCAATAGAGTAATGCCCTATTTCCAAATCAAATGAATGGTAATAATACATTCTAATTAAGATCCCCACGCTCATGAAAAACAACATGAGGTGCTGCAATGAATGAAGAATCCCACTCTCCTTGCAACCCCACATCACATGTAATGCTCCCCTTCAGTTCTATCCCAATGCCTCCCATCTTGACTAATTGCCAATCCAGCCAAAGATTTGAAAACATTCCCACCATTTTTTATCATCAAGAAGAAAACTTTGAGCTGAAATCTCTACCTCCTCCTCAGCACTAGAAGCTCTGACCTTTGAGCTGGACATGATCACTGTGGGAACCAAATTAAATCAGAACCCTAATTCCTTCCATTTGGGGATTATTTGACCTAATTGGGAATTTCTAAACCTAATTGGGAGTTACTCAATTTAATTGGGGGTTATCCAATTAAATGAGGAACAAAATCAGTTTGGAAATTAACCTACCTACCACCATTAGGGATTTGATTAAATTCCTAATTAATCAAATCCCTAAATACACCAACCCCACTAACCTCACCTACCACAATTAGGGATTTGATTAATTCCCTAGTTAATCAAATCCCTAAATGTACCAACCTCACCAACCACACCAACCTCACCAACCTCGTCAAGGCCCCCTATAAATACTTGGCCACGCACAAGGATGAGGTACGTCAGAATTTCTACTAAAACTCTAGAGAGCTCTTCCCTTCACAAATCCTAGCCACCTCCTCTCTCTCTCTCTCTCTCTCTCTCTCTCTCTCTCTCTCTCTCTCTCTCTCTCTCTCTCTCTCTCTCTCTCTCTCTCTCTCTCTCTCTCTCTCTCTCTCTCTCTCTCTCTCTCTCTCTCTCTCTCTCTCTCTCTCTCTCTCTCTCTCTCTCTCTCTCTCTCTCTCTCTCTCTCTCTCTCTCTCTCTCTCTCTCTCTCTCTCTCTCTCTCTCTCTCTCTCTCTCTCTCTCTCTCTCTCTCTCTCTCTCTCTCTCTCTCTCTCTCTCTCTCTCTCTCTCTCTCTCTCTCTCTCTCTCTCTCTCTCTCTCTCTCTCTCTCTCTCTCTCTCTCTCTCTCTCTCTCTCTCTCTCTTCAGAGGGCCTAATGCTATGAGTGTCAAATGCCCACCGATTTGCCACAACTGATCACCACACCCACATCCTGGCTTGATTGAACTGATCCTCCACCTCTTGAACTTCCCATAGTACCTACCACATGTATGATCGGTGCATATTTACATATCATTTTGTACCCTTCTAGCTTATGATTTGGTTATGTTTTTGAGTTAAACTTGTGCTGATAAAGGGATGAAGAGCTTAAAAGACAAACTCATTTTGGCTACAGCCCCCTGCCAGTCCAGTTTCGTAGGTCATATGTCAAGCCTTGTTTCAGCAACCTACATAGCTCTAATGAGGCCACATTCTTCATGAACGTTGTTCCAATTGGTGTGTACTATAACATATCCAAAATTCAGCCCCGTTGGATAAATATGGAGTCTGTTACCTAGCAAACACAGATCCATGCTCAGGATGGATTTTTGTCAGCGAGCAAACTGA